GGATTCAAACATCATTATCCCTGTATCTTCGTATCGCTACCTATGATACAAAGAAAATAAGTGGGTCAGACTGGGGATTCTGGTGAGTTCATAGGGTTTTCAAACCACACTAATTAAGTCTTTTATTATATTTTTCACATCAAACAATTAACCAGGTTACCAGTTCTCATTATTCTCACTCTCTGATCCTAAAATGATGATCTAGATGGACACATCCTAAAGGATCACAGTACGAGAAGAATAAAAAATACTACTTCAGGGAATCCATAGCAATATATGTCAATAACGCAACCATGATGGGGATAGAGTACCCGAATGAACGTTCTTTCATTTTCCCTGAAAATCATGATCATTAACACCTACAGATGTCGAGCTTGCTAGTGTTCCACAAGTCTGTCTAGAATAGTCAGTAGTCATCAACCATACTCTATTAGATTACTAGTCCCAATATAAAAATAGTACAATGCATGACCTCTCACAATAATTTTATTTTCCCAAAACCCTTCACTACCCAATATAGTTTGAATATGAAAAAATAAATGTACCAGTAAAATCATATCATATTATTGCAACTAGCACAGTCATTAAGAACATAGATAATAGGACCATATAGCATTTAATTATCTAAATATTTCATATCTATGTGTAAGATGAAAGTGATTACGCACTCACTCGTTAAAAGTAGATAACTGGTGATTTGGGTATGCTTCGCCTAACACCTTAGTTTTTCCTTTTGAAAGACCTAGGTATAAATATCACTAAGTAAGATCATATTGACGATAGTCTAGAATCCTCAATAATCCAAATCAATATTGACCTATAGCTGATAAGGAACAACCATCTAAGATCATATTGGAGGTAGTGTCTGTTTGTTATACAGAGTATACTGTTTGGAAATCCCATTTTAAACACCTCACTAAATCTAGCATAGATATCATTCTCTTAAGAAGATCAATCGGTATTTTGACTTGGAATTACTGATAACTCTTATTTATAAACTCATAACAATGACTATGAATATAAATATAAGTTACACTTGAAGCTAAATAAGTGAATCTTAACTTACATAAATTTCTAGCGAGAAGTCGGAAATTGCAATGGTAAAACTCCGGACCGAAAAATTCTATTTGTTGGACTCCTAGATACTTCAGAGCCTCGCTAAAATATTCCAAGAAACCAAAAAGGTTTGGACCCAAGAAAGACGGATGTCTAAGTGAGAAAAAAGACTTGAAAGTGTTAGAAGGCACGTCGCACACCTCCCCAAAGGCATGGTGTACCTTTAGTCTACGTTTCCCCATCAGTCCTTCGCCACTTGTCCAAAATTTGGTTGGCCACGCCCACCTTCTATAACATGACGCACGCCACACCTACCTACCTGTGCTCTGCGCTTTTCGAAAAACTTCTAAAATCATATCTTCCTCATATGAGCTCTATTTTTTATGTTCTTTATATCCACGCATAGCTACGAAGACTACTACAACTTTCATTTAGACTTCGTAGTCTAATTTTCACTTAATTTTTAATTTATATTTTTAGAGGGCTTAGATGGTTAAACTCGATATAAAAGTCATAACTCTTCCAAACGACATTCGTTCTCGACAGTCTTTATATCGACAGATTCCTATTCACAAGATCTTCAATTCTTATTTAGATTGTTTTGCCTAATAATCGACTGATTTAAATTACTAAAAATTCGAATAATCATAATTTCCTCATACGAAGTTAGATTTTCACGTTCTCTATATGCATGCTCTCACTTTTATGATTTCTACGACTTTGGTTTAGATTATTTGTTCTAAATAATATTTTATTATCGATGTTTTTTCTAACCCTATTTATTAATTAAAAAACGTTTTTATTCAAGCATTATATACAGATAACACACACACACACACACACACACACATATATATATATATATATATAAACACAAATCATTCTCTTTTATTGATTCATAAAAGATTAAAATTGTTGACCGACATAAATACATATTTTTATGAATTATGTCTAGTGAGACGTGGGCGTTACATGGATGTTTTCCCAAACAAGTCTTCTGTTGTATTAGAGGGACATAATTTATATCATCAACCTATTATCTTGAAGAATGATAAGTACGACTATGGGTCGACCGTTCAAAGCTTTTGACTCTTGGATGAAGATTGAGAGTTTCAATGAGATTATAAAAGACAGTTGGCCAATTACAAACCAATGAGTTGAGGGGGATAAAAGTATTTTGTTTAAGATCAAGTTGAAAGTCTAATAAAAAAAAAAGGTATGGTATACATACTACAAAAAATATTATAAGACATTATCGTATCGTTTCCTTGTTAATCATTGTATGTATCTTTAGTATTTATATTTCCCTTCATTATAAGGATTACCATATGTATTGTATATATACTCACGTTCTAATGAATAAGAGGGTAGTCAAGATTGCAATCCATATTTACTTTGTTTTTTATGGTATCATAGCAACCCTAATTCTCTTCCCCGTCCCCCCCCCCTCCACGGCTCTTCTTCTTCTGCCTACTTTTCTTTTCTTCTCCTAAGATGACTGGTGAATCTTCCAACCCACCTAGAACACCTTTTCATCTTTTTTTTTGCTGTTAATAACATCAATAACTTGATCCCTATTCTTCTTGATTGAATTGATGGCCAGTATGTCTCATGGATGGAGCTCTTTAATATTCATGATTGTGCTTATAGTGTACTCGACCACATCAACCCCAAGTCAACTCATCCTGCTGATATTAATGAAGAGATTCTGTCTCGTCTAGATGTGGTTTTCAAACAGTGGATCTACACAACATTCTCCGTATATTGTATACAAACCATCATGAAACCCGGTGCTACCACTCAAGAACTTCGGAATCATCTTGAAGTGTTTATCCAAGACAATAAATCTAATAGATGTATCTATCTGGAGGAGTAGTTCAACATTACTCGTCTTGATTCCTTCTTGAATATCAGTGATTACTGCTCTCATCTCAAAAACTAGGATGATCAACTTGCCAATGTAGGTAACCCTATTATTGAGAATAAGATGGTTCTTTAACTAATTTTCAGTCTGACAAAAGGTGATTATGATATTCTTGCTACCCTCATTCAATAAATTGATCAGTTACCAAGTTTTAATAAGTTTTGTTCTTAGATTCTTTTTTAAGAAGCACGCAGAAAGAAGAAAGCCTCTCACACCCTGCAAGCACTGGTTACTCAAAAATCGATTGTTCCCATTTCCATTAGCATTCCTCAATCTTCTAAAAAACATAGCAATAGCCACACTTTTCGTGATAGTGGCAGAGGTAAATACTAAGGAGGTGATAAGGATGGTCGTGGTAGTCAAGGAGGAAGAGGACGAGAGAGTGGAAGTTTCAACAAGTATGGGTCTGCTCCTAATACTTGGCAAACCCTATAGCAATACCCATCTCCTTGGACTCTACCACCTTGTCCATATCTAACAGCTAATCAAGGATCTAAAATAGGTCCTCTTAGCCCTGCTACACATCACAAGACCCGACAACAACAACCCAATAGTCCACCTACCAACTACTCTACTAATCATAATACTCCTATGACCACGATACAACTCGAAGTTGTGTTTCACACCACGAAACTATATCCTTTAGAAAATTCGCGGTATATGGATATTGATTCTACTTCGCAACTCACAAATAATTCAGGTAACCTTTCTCGTAAGTTTTCTTTAACAAACCCACATTCAAATATTATTGGTAATAACACATATATTCCTAGTCTTGGTAAAGGCTCTATCACTCTATCTTTTTCAAACCAATCCAACTCTCTCCAAAATGTTTATCATGTTCCAAAAATTATCAAAAAGTTAGTTTCTATACAAGAGTTTTATCATCATAATCTTGTCTCTGTCAAATTTGAATCGTTCGGTTATTCTTTAAAGGATCTTATCATGAAGAAGATCTTAACGAGGCACAAAAGTATCGGTGATTTATATTCATTTACTTCCTCAAACACAAAATCCTCCTATGTTGCTCTTTCGGGTGTCTCTCCTTCAACTTAAGATAATCGTCTTGGTCATCTGGGGATTTCAGTTTTTAATTTGCTTAAGCCTGACATTTCAATTTTCAGTTATACATTTAATCATTCATATAAAGCATATGCTTTAAAAAAATATTTTCATATATCTTTTACTTCATCTCAAACTATTACTTTTTCTCCTTTTGATATTATACACATTGATTTATGGAACTCTCCTATTGCATCCAAACTTGGTCATAAATATTACCTTGTCTTACTTGATGATTTTTCTCTCTTTATTTGGACTTACTAACACTACAAGAAAAAAGGCCTTTTACGATGCGCAAAATACGATGCTCATTGATCTATGTTACGCAAAGGAGAGTGACATTAGAAAAATGTCATCTCTTCAAAAAATTTAAGGATAGAAGACACGCATTATTGCACGCCCTTCAATTAGTGTCTAAAAAAAACACGGAGGGCACCTATAATAAAATGCGCGTCGTTTAAGGATGTCGCTTTATAATTTTTAATGGAACGCGCGTTCCATCCTTTAACAGTAGGGGGAAATGAAATTCTGAAAAAATTAAAAATCCCGCCTTCCTTTTTTTTCTCAATCAAGAAACCCTAACCTTTCTCTCTATTCACGAGCCAGTAATCAGCAAAGAAGATCAACAACAAACACCAACTGGTTCGATTTCTCCCTAAAACTGGTACAACTTCTCCTAAATCCGACTTCACTTCACACTCTGAGTTTGTTCTCTCCCTAATCGATGCATCCACATTCTCGTCTCTCCCCCTCCACCGGGTTTTCTCTCATCTCTCTCCTCCATAGATGAATATTTTTCTTTCTCCTTTGTTCGTGCTTCCTTATTGCAGGTGGTCTCAGTGGTGTTTGATAGTTGGAAACGAAAGCAACAGTGAGTATACAACAGGCCTTCCATTCCAAAAAAAAACTTTGCACGTAATAGAGAAGGTTAATTCCACGTAAGGGATGGAGCCAGAAGATGTGGGTGATAAAAACGCAATCATTGGAGCCAGAAGATATCACTCCTCCACCAGATGAAGATTGTCGAAGAGATGAAGGGGGGACCAATTTCTATAAAGCAGTGCTCTATATGTTCCTTTTTATGGTAATTCTACGATCCCTTTACAATTTATTCTATTTTCGTTTTTTATTTTATATATGTTCATGTTAATTTCTAAACATGAATCACTTCACCTTCTTAAATCTTGTGTTTTTTTCATGAAAATCATCCCCCAGTTTATAAAATTATATGCCTAATTGTTGAGATATGCATTTGTTTTAGGTTGAGGGTGAGGGTAGGGCACCTAATTCTCCTTAGAATACAAATACAAAAGCAATATGCCATTGTTGGAATGGAGATGGATTTCAGCAACATGAACTGTTTGACTTTGATTCTTGCTAAATGGAAAATAATAATAGATGAACAGGGGAAGTGGCGACCTAAATACCAAGTGTCATCAGAGAATTGCTATTACGTAGGGGCAGATTTTAGTTTGCATCTTGTTCACCAAGGCAAAAGAAAAAAGAGAAATAGGAAGTGTAGAAGAAAAAAAGATGAACATGGGAATGAACCAAAAAACAGAGGAATAATGTTTACTTCTTGCCAAAGGTAAAACTACTTATTAAAAACATGATTTTGAATGAAATTACAATGTAATGCAAGTCCTATTTTATACTAAACACAAATGAAACGTAGTCTAATTCAAATACCACATAAAAAATGCAACTTTACTAAAAAATTCCTAAAATACCCCTGGGCTAAAATTATCCCAATTTCTCTAGGTTATCCAACAGGTATTGCAGAAAAGTGGGGTTATTCTTGATTCTCCAGAGGAGCAAAAGAAGAAGGTTTAGTGATATAGCTATAATATTGTGATTTGTGAACAAACTTGAAACTATTAAAACCCTTATACATTGGAAACCCTTCTGTTGAGGATGAGCATTTAGACACATATGAACTTTCAATACTAATTTATAAGTTTCCTCTTTCCTGTGTTTATACTTTATAGTTGGATTTCAAATTTTTGTTTCTTTATGCTATAGAAAGTTTTAGATATTTAAATACTATATGGTAGTCTATGTTGAGGTTTGAATAAGATTCTACTTATTATTCATCATACATCTTAATGCGTGTATTTACTTGAAACAGGTTGTTGTGGAAAGAATTAAAAACAATGTCATAGGTGACAAGATTGATCCAAAAGCTGTACTAAATTTGGATCCTGGTCTTGGTGTTTTGGATGCATTTTTTGCCAGTTTGTCAATGATTCTTGTCAGTGAGGTATGTTCTTTCCCTATCTTTTTTTATAGGCACACATAAGTTTCCACAAATGTTTATTTCTCAAAATTACATTACCCAATATTCCATTTATTGCTTCCATCTAGATTGGAGATGAAACTTTTATTATAGCAGCTCTTATGGCAATGCATCATCCAAAGTCAATTGTTCTATCAGGTGCACTCAGTGCTCTGTTTGTAATGACTGTAAGTTTGCTACTTTTCTTTTTTACCCTTTTCATATTTTAGTGAACATAAATGAAAAACATATATTTTAGTTTGCTTCTAAGTTTAGTTTGGTTTTATTTGGTATGTAGATACATTCTACAGAGCTTGGTAGGATTGTTCCAAATCTAATATCAAGGAAACACACAAACAGTGTTGCTACAGGTATGTATTGAGTATATATATATATATATATATATATATATATATATATATATATATATATATATATTAAAATTCAATTTAAAATATGAGGATTGTGAGACATCTAAATTGTTTTTTTCTACAATGCAGTTCTTTATGCCTTCTTTGGGCTGTGTTTGCTCTATATTGCTTGGAGATCAGATTCAAAAGCATCTCAAAAAAAGGAGATGGAGCAAGTATGTTTTCTTTTTCCCCATTAAGGGTTATAGTTTTTATATAAATTTAGGCTTTACCTCATTATTAAATACCCAAAAAACAATCCAAAAATCTGATTCTATTACAAAATATATGCAGGTAGAAGAGAAATTAGAGTCTGGACAAGTCAAAACAGCTGCACGCAGAAATTAGAGTCTGGACAAGGCAAAATGTTGTAGAGGTTTGATCCAATTTTTTGCAAATCAACAAAGGTGCATTTTGTCTCGTTGACTAGTCAAAAGATAGTATATGTTATGGATGTTAATAAGTTGGGTAATGTAGTAACTTGAATATTTGAAAATGCAGGGATCTTTTACTATCTTTTGAGAAGGAAACAGGGAAAAAACCACTGGGGATCATATTCTATAGGTATATATATAAATATAATTTCAAGTGGTACAATTAAAGAAAAAAAAACTAAATCTTCATTTCGTTTTTTATTTGCAGGGATGGTGTAAGTGATGGGCAACTAATGAGCCGAAAGCAACTTCTTTAGTACAAGAGTGGGGACACTGTTCTCTATAATAATGCGGTTAAATTGTATACATTTTGTTTATATCCAGGTGTTTCCAAGGCGAGAAACATTTCCAGATTTGGACTGTGTTGACTCGGTGAGTTCAGTGGAACAACTCATTATACTTTGAAAGACCTTAACGACCAGGGACTAAAGGTATCTTTTCCTTGATTTTTAGGCTTATTCTAACCTTAATTAGTTAAGCCCTTTAGGAGGTTATTATTAATGTATCTGCATCCATGGTAATGAATCGACACTTGCAATCGAAGTTTTAGGTTAAGCTTCTTATAATTCTTGTATGGTGTCATTGGGTTATTTTCTTTTTTGATGGTGGGATGTCAAAATAAACGGTTCTTATATAGACTACAGAGCGAGAGCTATGTTATTCTTGTCTCTTCAACTACATTTAACTAAATAAACACAATTATCTTATTAAATTTAACTCAAAACCCATAGGGCATTGGTCTTGTAAACACTGAAATCACTCAAAACTCAAAACAGTATATACCAAGAAACAAATATTCAGTAGATTTCTGATATAATGACTTGTGTTGATGCAGTTTTTGCTTAAATATTCAAACATGGTGCAATACAATTTCAAGAAAATCACAAGGGTACCCACTGGAAAAGACTTTGCAGACATAGTCCTCAGTAGAACCCAAAGAGAAACCCCAACAGTTGTCCACAAAGGCTATGCAATCAACTGAATTAGAGGTTTTTATATGAGAAAAGTGAAGTTCACACAAACAAACTTTGGTGTTTGCAATTATTGATCCACAGTAAGTCCATGGACTGACTGTTATGCTTATAATGTGTTTTTGGATTGTCCTATACAATGTTTTTTTGTTTCTGTGTATTTTGTGCATCAGGTAAAGTTGGTGGAAGAAAAGAATATGAAGCCACTTGATTCAAATCTTGCAGCATTATCAGCAAGATGCAGTAAAGACTTGGAGTTGAATTTGGCTAAGTCTTTCTTGAGTGAGATGGGACAATGTACAACTTCTTATCCATATAACAGCTGTTTGGAGCATTAGTCTTAAAGAATTATGAAAGGCAAGATGCAACTTTATTTAGTTGGAATTTGATGTAGAGAGTAGATTAGATGCAAATTTAGATATTGTAAAAAATAGAATTGTATGACATTAAATTTTATGCAATGGATTGTATTTTTTGTATATGATATTTTATTTCTATTATGAATTGTATGACATCAAATTTAGATATTGTAAATATTTTTTTTAGAAAATTTAAAATTATGATACGCAAAAATGTGTGTCATCTTCATTTATGACATGGCCTTTCTTGATAGGGGCTTCCTTGATACGCATTGCGTGTTATAAACATGCGCGTCGTAAGGTTACGACATGCAAATGCGTGTCGTCTTCCTTTATGACAGGGCCTTCCTTGATACGCATTGCGTGTCATAACCGCGCGTCGTAAATGCGCGTCATAAATGCGCGTCGTCTCTCTTTACGACAGGGCCTTCCTTGACACGCATTTGCGCGTCGTCTGAGCGTTTTACGACGCACAATGAGCGTCGTAAAAGGCCTTTTTTCTTGTAGTGTAATTACATATAAAATCCCAAGTCTTCCATATTTATCTTGTATTTCAAACACAATTCCATCTTAACATCAAAAACCTACAATGTGATAATGAAAGAGAATTTAACAATTCTATGTTTCCTTAACTTTTCATCAAAACCGGTACAAAATTATGTTTTACTTGTCCATACACATCTCAAAATGGAAAATATGAACGAATTATATGTACCATTAATAATATGATTCGTACTAACCTTCTTCATGCAACTCTTCAGCCCACTTTTCGATATTATGGTCTCTCTTTTTCTACATACCTTCTTAACATTCTACCATCGACTACCATTCAAAACAAAACTACTACTAAAATTCTCTACCTAAGAAAACCCATTTACTCTCATCTAAGAGCCATCGAATGTCTTTGTTATCCCAAGATACCTTCCACTACTACTCAAGAATTAGCTCCAAGATCCATACCCTTTATCTTTCTTGGTTTCCCACCTAACCACCGTGGTTACCTGTGTCACACTATCTCCACCAACCAAACTATTATCGCTCGGCATGTTACTGTAACACCGGGTTCCTGGTACATATTTAAATTAAAGTAATGTTGTAATTTACTCTGGGACTTGGCGAGTTGGAAGCCCAACTCGTCGATTATACTCGACTTTATGCGGGGGTTTTAGTGATCTACTCGACGAGTCGGGAGACAGACTCGACGAGTAGGAGTTTTCTTGACAAAACGCTAATGTTTAGGGTTTGCATCCTATTTAGACACTTTATCTCATCCCAAACCAGCCTCCATCACCCTCCCAACTCAGAGAAACCCTAGATTCGAACCTTAAACTCGTATTGAGTGTTCTTGCGCCTTTTTGATGCTTTTTGTGTGTGTTTGAAGTTAGAGAAGAAGAAGAAATCTTGGAAGTTCAAGTAAAAGCAAGGAATCCAGAAGTTTTACTCCATTCTCAGCTCATTCAAGGTAAATTGTTGGAACATTGACCATCTATCTCTTAGATTTTGATTTGGGGCTATTTCTACCCTTTTTATGAGTTTAGAGAAGATAAATCGGATTTTGTGAGTGTGCTTTGAGTTACACTTTGGATCTGGAGCAATTGGGGGTCCTCATCGCATAAAGGTGCCAACTTTGTTGCGATAAGCACCCCATGAATCTTGTAGACCTCATTTTATGGCTTTTTGAGCCAAAGGCCCCATGGATGTGCATCAAGTTTGTAGCTTTACGTATAAAATGGGCCCTAGGAGGCCAGATCTATGGTTTTGATGTGTTAAGACCCATTATAATATACTGTATACTGTTGGACAATGAAGGACTCGACGACTCGTTCTTAGGACTCGGAGAGTCGGGGTGCATTTTCCACCAAATCCTATCTGTGTATGGACCAGATGTTAAGATCAAAGGTTCCCCAATTATTTAGGTTCACTAAGGACCTGAAAATCATAGGAATCAGGGAGTGCATGAACAGACTCGCCAAGTTCAAGGCAATGTCCTTGCCACATGAAGACGGACTCGGCGAGTTCAAGGACGAACTCTGCAAGTCGGTTGAAGATAGTATGATGTGTTGTTGAAGGATAAATCATCGAGCTCTTGCTAGACTCGACGAGTAGGGATGAGATTATAGCATTTGGAGGATATGGGGACTCCACGAGGTGGCGGGCCGACTTGGCGAGTCGAGTCAACCAGATGTTGACTTTGACAAAAACTTGACTTTGACTTTGACTTGGATTTGGGTGACTCTTATAACGGTTATGAATATAAATTGATTACTTAGAAAAGTTGTCGTGTAGGTATCGAGGAGTCGGGGAGAATCAATTTTCACACCGAGGATAGTGCAGACACTACATGATGTTGAGGTGAGTTACCTTCCAGTAGAAGTGGGTCTAAGGCACCAAGGCCGACCCACTAGTAGTTGATTATAGTTGAGATGATTTTGTGTGTGTGATAATTGTCTAGTTTGCTATTACTTGATTGTCACACCCCAAAACCAGAACGGCGGAAACGTTCGAGGGTGGAGGACGTCATGTTTAGTATCACAAGACATGCATCATAGTAATTAAAGTAATAAACAACCATTTCAAAAGAAAGAAAGTGTTTACAAAGTATGTGGTTCACATAGCATAGACTACAAAGTAAATAATTGAAAAGACATGAAGCTATTATGCTCCATATTCTGAATCCCAGTGCGCGTACCTGTCTACTGGTTTCCTGAGAATACAGTAGATCAACATTTAAGCTGGTGAGTTCATATGATTTTAGTGATGTAATGTAAGTTGTAAGAAAGTTGTAGTAAGTTGTAAGTTCTGTTTAGAAAAGTTCGCTTATTCCTCCAGAAAATCCTATATTTCCTACTTTGATGAAAGATAAGTAAAAATGACTCTACAATCCTTTCTATGAGTACTAAGTGGATGCAAGTTATATAAAACCCAGAGAAAAAAAAACAATTGATTGTGTGTATCTTCCCTAAGCCCATAACCAAACAAGGAACAGGAAATGAGGCGGAAGGAACACCTCCTATTGTTTGTTAGATCATCGTTGTATATAACCCTAGCGTATTCACTTGGTACTCGCAGAGTTAACTGTAATAGTTGCTCTATATTTGATGGAAACATTCCTTAAGGAAAACCCTTATTTCTTTTAGTTACAATGGTAACCACACTAGTTCCTTCTATAATCACTTAGTTTATACAATCTATATATAATCTAATATCGAACAAATAGTTAATTGTGAGGATCTGCCCTAACCCCACAACCAAACAAAGAATAGGAAGTAAGGCGGAAAGCACACATCCAACTGCCTATCGAATATTAATTACATATAACTTTGATGTAGAAACTAAGGTATTATGGAATTAACCACTAAAGGTCCTTTAAGTATATTGGTTTAATAAAATGGATTAAACCCATTATACTGATAAGCTTCTAGTTTAGTCTACTTCGTGTTCTTTTTGGAAAGTATGTTCGTGTACTAGAAACGATGTATTTGAATTAGTCTACTATGACTTGACCTATACCTGGTACTCCTTATGATTACTTGGTGTATACGGAATATATATAACTAAGATCGGATAGATATCACACTGGGTGCATCTTCCTTAAGCCCACAACCAAACAACAAACATGAAGTAAGATGAAAAGCACACGCCCTACTATCTCCTAGACCCGATTAATATATATCCTTGATGTATACACTAAAGAATCATAAAGTTAGCATTATAGGTCCCTTTCTACTTAATGTTCATTTTACGAATAAGTTATGTATTTTATTTATTACTGTCGGGTACTTTACAAAGATACTTTGCATAAATAATTTCGATTCAGTATATTGCTATCACCTCGTGCCTGCTAACTCTGGTACGTGAAATCGTAATGGTGTTAACGCAAACCCGGAAAGATATATTAGTATGTTTTATCACCTCATGCCTGCTAACCCTGGTACGTGAAATCGTACTGGTGTTAACGCAAACTCGGAAAGATATATTAGTATGTTTTATCACCGCGTGCCTGCAAACCCTGGTATGGTAAATTGTACTGGTGTTGGCTCAAACTCAGAAACATATATTAGTGTGTTTTATCACCTCGTGCCTGCTAACCCTGGTACGTGAAATGGTACTGGTGTTAATGCAAACCCGAAAAGATATATTAACATCTTAATTTGTTACAAACAATGAATTAAGGATACGATGTCTTCCTAGAGTAATAGGAACATCGTATAAGTGTGTAATTCTTGAATTGTTCGTCTATTATTGTTATAGTGTGTTCCTCGCTGTACTTGTTATAGTATGCTCTTCTCTGTACTTGTTATAGTATGCTCTTCTCTGTACTTGTTATAGTATGAACTGAACCCCTAAACTATACCTATTATAGTTTACTAGTTTGTTTAATCGAACTGATACTAACTTGAAGAAAAGACTCATTTTATCTACTAAGTTATCATTGTGCTTTAAAAACAGAGTTTCGTAAACTATAAAGTAACATAACTTAAAAAGAGTTTTTGAAATTTTTTGATCACTTATAAAAACATAACCAACCTTTAAAATTTTTTGATCACTTATAAAAACATAAACAACACTAATTTCTTTTACCAAAATTGATAATATATTGAGTTTGGGATCAAAGTTGTTAGATAGTCTGAATCCATTTATCAGTACCTTCTTCTTCATGAATAGATATGGTCGATCACTGATATTGTGGTCCACTTAAACAAGAAAATTTTGTGCCAAGATTAGGACATACTGTAAGTAATTGGACATTTTGACTTTGCAATTCTAACCAAATTCCTAATGACCATTCATCTGATGATGACCAGGGATATTGTTGTCCACCTAAGTTAAGCAGCCAGATCTACAGACAACCTATTTATTGATTGATTTTAGTTGTATTAGAACATGTTTCCAACTTCCAGATATACCCCAACAATCAAGAACTTCCGAGGCACTCCTTACTTCAGGTGAGCAGACAATTATTATGAGAGAAGACAGAT